CAAAAAAAAAAAAAAAAAAAAAAAAAAGATATGTCCCAAATTTTATAATGAAAGCTGACTCTTTGAACAGGAGAGTGCTTGGGTAAGATGGAAGTGGCCACCTTCCCAGGTAAGGGAACAGCTTCTGTACAGTTTATTTTTCAAGGAAGGTGACAGGGTAGAAGTGGGAGTGGTCCAGTGCTGTTGTGCTCCTATGCCTTTGTCCCTGTCTTTGAGAGGTGAGTCTCAGCCTTCCTGTTTGGGGGCTTAATTCCAGGGGCTTTCCCGGGCACATGGGGAGCTCTCAGAGGAGAGAGATATCCTGAGCCAACAGCAGGGAGACCATGTGGCACGCATCTTGGAGCTGGAGGATGACATCCAGACCATCAGTGAGAAAGTGCTGACAAAGGAGGTGGAGCTGGACAGGTGAGGCCCTGCCCTTGGTTTTCCGAGCCCCTCACACTTCAGCTTCTCATTTCAGGCCAACCAGCCTGCCTGTCTACCTAGTTTCTCTGTCACTTCACTCGGGTATTCCAGCTACTGGGAATCCCTTTCTGCCTTGCTCTCTTCCATTTTTCTGAATCCTTAGTTACCTTATATTGTGCAGGAAAAGTTAAGAAAAAGTTAGGAGTGGAAGATTTAGAAGAGAATAGATAGAATTGTCAGTGGAAGACAAGAGAGGATGGATTTCAGATTTTACCACAGGAGAGATACAGTTTGACTCTGTTCCCTTCCTCAGAAATACTAGAACTGGTAATTCAGGAACATATAGGCCTTGCTCTTGAAAATGGCATAAATCATAAAATCAGTGTTGGAAGTAATGTAAGGAATAAGGGAAGGTCACCCTTAGGAGATAGCCTCTTGCAGTTTTGGGCAGCTGTCACTTCTATCGCATATAGAGAGCTAAACTTTACTCTCGTATAGTTTACCAATGAGTCCTGGTTTATTTATTTTTATTTTTATTAGTATATTTTTGCTACATAATTATCACATTCATTGTGGGGAGTTGGTACATTTACACAACACATCTTTGTTGTTTTGTTTTATTTTGTTTTGTTGGTTTTTTTGAGACAGGGTCTCACTATGTAGTTGAGACTGACCTGGAACTCACTATGTGAACTCACAGCGAACCTCCTGCCTCAGCCTCCCAAGTGCTGGGATTACAGGTGTGCACCACCATGCCCAGCTTACATGACACATCTTAATTCCCCTTTCATCCCCTAGATCCTAGAGTAGAATACTGGAACCACATAAAAATTTTTTTCTATCAGAAAATATTATTTCTGCCAAATAGTGTAAGTGTTAGCCACTTCCTATTTCTGTCCTTTAAATTTTTACCAGCTTAAATGCTCTAGTTTTTTTATTTATCAAGTACTATAATTGTCTCTCATTTTATACTGGGAGCTTTGATATTTTTAGAAATTCTTTGAAAGAAAGATGGGTTCTACCTAAGGCCAGGGTAATAAATGAATTGATCTGAGAGGATTCTTTAGGAGGCACTAGTCTTGCCTTAGGAAGACACCATGCATCTGCATTCTTAGAAACTGTCTAGAACAACAGTCAGCATATAGCAACTGATATGTCAAATCTAGCCTGCTGCTTGTTTTTGTTCGGACCACAAGGAAGAGGATTTTTTGGTTTGTTTTTTTTTTTTTAATGTTGTAAAGGTTGACAAACAGATTAAAAGAAGAATATTTTGTGATGTGAAAATTACATGGAATTCAAATTTCAGTGTTTGTAAGTGAAGTTTTATTAGGACACCATGATCATTCATTTACTTATTGTCATGGCTATTTCTAGAGTACAATGCCAAATTTGAGTAGTTGTCCTAAAGAACAAAGTCTGCCAACTTCTGTACTGTTGATTTTTTGCTTTGTTTTGTTTGGTTTGGTACCGGGGATCGAACTTGGGACCTTATTCTTGCAAGGCAGACAGTGGAACCACTGAGCTAAATCCCCAGCCCTTGCCAACTTCTGATAGAGAACAAAATTAATTTTTAAAATTTTATTTATTTTAGAAACAGGGTCTAAGTTACTAGGCTTAAGTTGCCCAGGCTAGGCTCGAATTTTCAATCCTCCTACTTCAGTCTCCCAGAGAGTTGGGATTATAGGCATGTGCCTCTATGTCCAACTAGAACAAAAATTTATAATCAATGACTGTCCCTTGTCTAAAAGAGCCTAAATTCTAGTCTCTTGATTGAAGACAGCCAGGGAGTCATCAGCAGGCATTCATTAAAAATGATAATGCAAAAGTCAGGCATGGTGGTCCATGTCTGTGATCTCAGCACTCTGTGAGGCTGAGGCAGAAGCATTAAAAGTTGAGTCCAATCTGGGTAACTTAGCAAGATCCTGTCTCAAATAAAAATTTAAAAAGGACTGAGGATGTACCTCAGTGCAAAGGCTCTGGGTTCAATCCCCAGTTCCAACCCCCAACACCCACACGATATATAAAGAGAGAAGAAAATTGTTTCTGGCTCAATTGTGCTGTAGAACCAAGAATCTTGGATCGTGGGGCTTAGAACTATGTGCTCTGGTTTGGCGACTTCAACATCCCAGAGTGAAGTAGAGGCCTGGGCCTAGAGAAACACCAGTGAAAGAGGTAGAACAAAGGCCCAAGTCCTTCTCTGCATGACCGGATGATCCACATATTGTCCCCCACTTACAGAGTTAGAGACACAGTGAAGACCTTGACTCGGGAACAGGAGAAGCTCCTGGGACAGCTGAAGGAAGTCCAAGGAGACAAGGAGCAAAGTGAGGTAAGGGGCTCACAACTAGTTTGCGTTCTCAGTTGTTCAGCTGGTGTTTACTGAAATGCTTCTGGAGTGCCAGGCACCAGAGGGGATAAAAATGGAAAGACCCTGTGCGCACTGTACTCCAAACACACTACATATGCCTAAATCAGGATTTGTCAGAGTAAAACATAAGCAGCATCACAAGGGAAAGCTAAATCAGTATTACGACACCCCAGAAAGGGAGGTGAGAGCATGTTTTGTTTAGAGTCATTAGAAAAAGCTGCTAAAAGGAGGGCATGAATTAGCCTAATACTTCCAAACCTTTTTAGCTACAGAACCATTTCTCTCCCCACCAGTGAAGTTTTTTACATCTTGTGTGGAACTTTACTGTATAAGCAAAAGCAGTATTAGTTTCAACTTATTTTTATGAATTCAAATGTATAACATTTACTTATGATGTAATAAAAGCAATAAAATAATTTTGATGGATACCAAACTTTTAAATTAAGGATTATAGATGACTGCTTTGTCAGCTGTACAGGCTAATGTGCTTCTGTATTTTGTTTTGATGCTGCTTAGCAGATTTGAGGTTCTAGGTTCAGTCCCAGCAGCACAAAACGTAATCTGTATTTTTGTTTTGATTGTTCAATATTGAAAATGCCTGAGTCACACACAAATAGGTGAAAATGATAAGAGTTTACTCATTTCAATAGAAAATACAATAGAAATTTTATTCTGAGATTTACAGAAAAGTGAATTAACCCAGAAGCCCATGTCAATGGGCTGGTGATATAATTTATAAATTTATGTGATTTTTTAAAAAAATAATTTTTAATAACTTAGCACAAGTTCACACTGGGGCTATAATAGCTCAGGGGTAGAGGGTATGCTTACCCCTCGGTTTGATCCCCAAAATTGCATTTAGAAAAGAACAAGTTCAAATTCGATACTATATTTTTAGAACCCTTCAATTGCTTCCTCAGAAACCTTCACTTTTTTTTTTGTACCAGGGATTGAACTCAGGTCCTTGCGCTTGCGAGGCAGGTGGCGGAACCACTGAGCTAAATCTCTGGCCTAGAACCTTCACTTTTGTAGAAGGTGGTTTGAAAAACTTTAGCTCAGCAGTGAAGAATGGGTAAATTTGAGTAGATAGAGATGAGAAGAAGAACATTCAAGAATCAGAAAAAGACATATACAAAGGTTTAGAGGCCAAGTGCTCAGAGGAGTTGAATGTGTAAAGAGTGTGAGATACAGCACAGGTCAAATTGTAGAGGATCTCTCTCGAGCTTAGCCTATTCTTTTTTTTTTTTCTTTTATTGAGTTTATTGGTACATTTTAGGTATACAGTACAATTACATTCATTATTGGGATCTTGTGCCTTTACATGACAGGTCTTGGTTCTCATTTTTTTCCCCTTGTCCGTGTCCTCTCTTCACCCCCTCCTGCCCTCCTCATTTACAAACACTTTATTTCCATTTTTTCATGTTGTCATATTTTTTTCTTTTCCCTCATTACCTTTCCCTTACCCTTCCCATTTTCCCTACACCTTTAGCCCTTTTCTTCCTATTTCACATGGTCAGTTATTTCATTAGAATCTTAGGTACTATTATAGCTTTTCACACCAGAGAAACTATTCAGTATTTACACATGTGTGACTTATTTATTTCACTTAGGAGTATATCCTCAATATGTACCCATTTTCCTATGAATGAATCTAATTTCTCATTCTTTATGGCTGAGTAGTATTCCATTTTATAGAAAAACCACATCTTCTTTATCCAATTTCCAACTGATGGGCAAATGGGCTGTTTCCAAGTTTTAGCTATTACAAACTGTGCCGCTATAAACATGGGTGTGCATATATCACTGTGGTATGATTCCTTTAATTCTTTTGGGAAGATACCCAGCAGAGGGATGGCTGGGTCAATAGCCTATTCTTTAAGCAGTGAAAAGCACTGATTATTTTCAAGTAAGGGTGACATGTACTTGTAGAATTGTACTTAAGAGGCTCACCATGAGTTTGTGGCCAGCTTAGACTATAGAGTGAGTTCAAAGGCAGCCTGAACTACATAGCAAGACCTGCCACAAAACGAAACAAAACAAAACAAAAAAACTATATACTTAAAGATTAACCTGCTTGCCTTGTAGAAAATAAACTAGTTGTGAGTTTCAGTCATCCAAGCAAGAAATGACCAGAGCCTAAACTAATGTGGCTTTGGCAGTAATAGAAAAGAGAAAATGGCTGATTTAAAAGAAAACAGAGGTGCAACATGGGATATCTACATGTAAGACTCCAGGCTATGATGCTGGATACTTTGTTCAAGAGCTGGAGACTGGATGTTCAGGATAGAGGCCCTTTGAGTGGAGAACCCAAGGGCTAGCAAGAGCTGAGTGCTCAAACTTGTATTAAATGCAAGAAATGGGACCTTGATATCTCTCATCACAATGGCAGAAGTCATCTTGTCTCCCTGGTTAATCCAGCACCTCTGCTTCTTTCTACTTCCATCAGGCTGAGCTTCAAGCAGCACAACAGGAGAACCGTCACTTAAATTTGGAGCTGCAGGAGGCCAAGGGCCGGCAAGAAGAGAACAGTGTTCAGGTCCAACGATTGAAGGACAAGGTGGCCCAGATGAAGGACAGTCTAGGCCAGGCCCAACAGCGAGTGGTGAGTGAAGGCCCCAGGCAACAGGAAGCATTGAGAGCTAGCTGCTGAAAAGTCTGGGTTGCCCGAGAGAAGGGAACGACATGGATAAAGACTAGACAACATAATCAGAGTCCTCGTGCTGAGGATGGAGGCTGGTTTACAAATGATTCACTGGATTCTGATCTCTGTCTCCTTTCTCCTGAGGCTGAGCTGGAGCCTCTAAAAGAGCAACTTCGAGGAGCCCAGGAACTCGCAGCCTCAAGCCAGCAGAAAGCCAGCCTTCTTGGGGAGGAATTGGCCAGCGCAGCAGGAGCCAGGGATCGCACCATAGCTGAGCTGCACCGCAGCCGCCTGGAAGTGGCTGAGGTCAATGGCAGGCTGGCTGAGCTCACTCTGCATCTGAAGGAGGAAAAATGCCAGTGGAGCAAGGAGCGGTCTGGGCTGCTGCAGAGTATGGAGGTAGAGGGGTAGGGGCAGTCTTTTGGCCCCTATTTCCACCTCTACAGGGGCTCCTACATGTGGTCAGGCCCTCTGGGAGGGGTTGAAAGTCTCAGAGGACTTAGGGTTCGGGGCGGGGCTTTGAGTGAGGTGCTCTTTACTTTCAAGGCATGGACTCAGCCCTAACCAATGTACCCTAATCCCCGATCACTGTAGCACATTCCTTAGTTACCATTCTTGCTACAGAAACATTTCTGTCCTAAGGACCAGACCCTGATCAACATAGTGCCTTGCTGTCTTGTCCTGTCCTTTGTTGTGGGGTAATAGGAAGTAAGAGGAAATTGCTCCAAAAACAGTTCAGTTCAATAAAAGAGATCCAGTGAGCCGTAGTACTGTTGCCAGTGACCTTCCTGTTCCTTCCTCTCACCCTCCTGCGCTCCTTTCACTGACCACCAGGCAGAGAAGGACAAGATCCTGAAGCTCAGTGCAGAAATCCTTCGTCTGGAGAAGGCAGTGCAGGAAGAGAGGACCCAGAACCAAGTGTTCAAGACAGAACTGGCCCGGGAAAAGGATTCCAGCCTGGTGAGGCAGCCAGTCACCACGGGCCCCTCAGGTGTCCCCCTGAGGTGTCAGTGTTCCTTGCTGTGTCTTGGGTGATGTCTCACTTGTACTCCTCCCAGCCTCTGTTGGTTTGAATGTGCAGAGTCTCTCTCTGCTCTCAAGGTATCGTCTGGACCTCGGAGAATTACAGAGTAGCTCCTGGTATAACCAAGGCCTCTGCACAGCCGCCGAGGGCAGTCATCCAAGTACATACTAGTGAGGCAGAGATTAGGACTCAAACTGAGTCTTTGTGGCCAAGACAGGGGTGGCAGAGAGGAAGAACATTGAGCAGAAGAGGAAATGAGGTGTGGGAGATATGGTTCCATCCTGGTGGTCCAGGTCCAGAGCTCAGGTTCTTGATGGTGTGTTGTAGGCTCCAGGTTCCACCCGGCTCTTTTTCTTCAGGTTCAGTTGTCAGAGAGTAAGCGGGAACTGACAGAGCTGCGGTCAGCCTTGCGCGTGCTCCAGAAGGAAAAGGAGCAGTTGCAGGCCGAGAAGCAGGTGAGGCCATGAGACTTAAGTCCCTGGGTGTCAGAGCTGAAGATGTGGAGAATCAAAAACTCTGTTATCCTCTTGTCATCTCTTGCCTTAGAAACTGGAATCTCTAAGAGGGCCCAGTGACCAAAAGGAGCACTCTAGCTCCTCTTCTTAGCTCACTTGGCAGGTGTCGGGGAGGGGGTTGCCAGGAGAAGAGAGGGATTAAAAAGTGAAGGAAGGCTGTTGGGTAAGGGGACCCATCTTCCACAACCCCACCCTGTGGTGAAGGCTTCAAATCCTGAGGAGCAAAGCGTTCATCCAGGAGCAAAAAGGGCTGTGAGGGCCAACGAGGTTGGCATCTTCCGAGTCTCTAGCACCTACTTCTTTCCTCCTCAACTCTAGGAACTGCTAGAATACATGAGGAAGCTGGAGGCCCGCCTGGAAAAGGTGGCAGATGAGAAGTGGAATGAGGATGCTGCCACAGAGGACGAGGAGGCCGCAGCAGGGCTGAGTCTGTACACCCCCAATCTGGTGACACCTCTCCACCCACTCCTTCTGTTGAGGAAAATTCCATGGACACCCATGGAAGCTGCCTCTGCCTTCTATGTGTTCGGCCTTTTTCCTTCCCAGACCCTAGACCCTATGTGCCCCTCAGAGGAGAATGAGCTGATCCAGTGCTCTAACAAACACATCCTTCCTTCTTCCTTGCCTGTCTCCTTTCCCACAGGCTGCCCAGCTGCTCTGACAGACTCGGAGGACGAGTCCCCAGAAGACATGAGACTCCCACCCTATGGCCTGTGTGAGCGCAGAGACCCAGGCTCCTCTCCTCCCGGGCGCCGAGAGGCCTCTCCTCTCGTTGTCATCAGTCAGCCAGCTCCCATTGCTTCCCACCTCTCAGGGCCAGTTGAGGACAGCAGCTCTGACTCGGTGAGAGTGGGAGCAGTAAGGAGTGGGTAGGGCCACACCCAAGAAAGTCCACCTCCAAGAAAGTATGTAGGCCTCTCGTTTTAGTTTTTGTTTTTTGTTGGTACTGAGGCAAGTGCTAGGCAAGTCCTCTGTCACTGAAATACACCTCCAGACCCTGGGGTTTTCCTTTGATCTCAGGGGAGAAGAAACAGGCCTAACCTCTCTTCAAAGCCACCAAGGGATGCTACCCCCCAACCCAGTCCAGCCCAGTAGCCTCATGGCCTCCAACCCCCATTGGACGGAACCTTTCCTGTCCTGCTCTTCCCACGGCCCCTCTGCTCACTCGACTTCTCTTCCTTTACCAGTCCCAGTGTGCTGCTCCCCCGCCTTGGGACCCAAACCCACCCATATCTCTTTGGTACACAGGAGGCTGAGGATGAGAAATCAGTTCTGATGGCAGCTGTGCAGAGCGGAGGTGAGGAGGCCAACCTGCTGCTTCCTGAACTAGGCACTGCCTTCTATGACATGGCCAGGTGAGTGCAGCGGGAGCAGCCGGAGGAAGTGACTGGGGAAGGACGTCCATGTGAATAGTCACCGTGCCCTTTCCTCAGCCTTCCCCTTCTTGGCCTCAACCAAAAGAAAAAAAAAAAGGAGAAACAGGTGTGGTTGATGTAGGAAATTACCCACCATTCTAAATCCCAGGTGCCTTCCCATAATCTCTCCCCTCATCTCCTTGCACTTCGAGGCCCTGCCTTTAACTGGCTTCTGTGTTGTTCCAGCACCATCTTCCATGGAGCCCAAATTGCCCTGCATCCCCTCACTCCTGTCCTTTCCCCTTTCCCAACTGCCAGGTAGGTAACCTAGGCTCCTTGAGGGAGGAAGGGAGGTGACCAAGTCCCCCAGGCACAGGAGCAGAAAGAAGGCTGAGGTCCAGCATCTGTGTGGCTACACTTGAGATGCTGACCCTTTTCCCTGGGGATTCTCTGGGAGGGGATCTCCCAGGGTGGGGGGCTCAGGTATTTGACTCAGCCTCCTCTTTGTGCCCTGGGCCAAGAGGACAGGGCGTGGAGAAGAGAGATTTTTATCATCGAGCCGGGGCTATGCCTGGTTGTGTGATGGGCTCAGGGCAGGGAGGGGTGATGCTATCATCCTTCTTGACTAGAGCAGGAAGATGAAGGACGATGTCAGACTCATTTTCAGCCTCATTAGGCAGCAGACGGAGATGGAGGGAGAAGCACAGGAGCTTGGGGGATGGGCCCTGTGCTGCAGAGACCAACAGATCCACAAGAAGAGTGGCCAGGGGGATCTGGAAAATGAAGGCGTCCTGCATTGTGGGGAAAAAGATGCTGTAGGAGAGGCTGGTACAGAGAATGACCAGGATGCTGCACTGGGAGCAGGATCATCTGGGCACCCAGGTGCATGGTCCTGCTCTCTGAGGTCTGCAAGTCGAGGCAACAGGACGCTCTGATCCTCCCATATTCCCTTTGTGTCTCTTTAGTGGCTTTTCCGTGGATCCCCTGTCAGAGGCCAGCACTGGGGGCCCTGCCACCCCACCGTGGAAGGAATGTCCTATCTGTAAGGAGCGCTTCCCTGCTGGGAGCGACAAGAGTGCCCTGGAGGACCACATGGACAGACACTTCTTTTGCAGCACCCAGGACCCCTTCACCTTTGAGTGATGTCACCCCTCCGTGCACGCGCACGCGCGCGCGCGCGCGCACACACACACACACACACACACACACACACGTTCACACGCAGACATACACTTTCCCATTCACTGGGTTCCATGATATCCTGTTTCCTAAGAACCACTCCTGTGTGTCCTTATTTTCACCCCAGGCTTGCTAACTTCACCTTCTCCTACCTGGCTTTTTGTCCTAGGCCAGGGTCTTCTTTGGAAGCAGTGGCTGAACTATCCCCAGAAAGCAGTTTTGGAGGAATCAAGATAGAGACCTGTAGGACTGGAACTACCCACTCCTAGCCCTGGTTGCTTCCGATACACAGCTGCCCCCCCCACACACACACACTCTCACACTCACTCCCCTCTCTGATGCCCCAAAGCCAATTCCTGGGGCACCCCATCCTCTTTTATTTGGGGTTTCTGTTTGTTTACCTGAGTTTTCTCTGGGGCCTGCATAGGGACAGCAGCATGGACAGCATGACCTTTTCGGGTCTCTTTGGTTCTCAGTTTCACTGGTTCCTCTTTCTGTTCCCTGGTTGTCTTCCACACCCCACCCCAGCCTTTTCTGTAGAAGTAATATCTTAGATATTAATACGGAGGTTTCTTTTATATTTTTAAGGCTTCCTGTACTCTGCCTTCTGCCCCTCCCTACTACCCCCCCCAGCCCCGTATCCTCACATGAAAAGAAACGTATTTGTGCCTTCTGTGAGGGATGGGGGAACAAGTGATCCCAGGTGTCCTCATTTCCAGCCCCTCCTTCCCAAAGTCCCCCACAGCAATAAGAGCTTCCCCCCTTCCCATACCCTTCCTCTCTCATCTGTAGTTTGGACAAATATATTTATATGATAAGTGTAACTGTTGTCATAAAATGTGTTCTTACGAGGTAAGATTCCCAGACTGTGCAGGAGGGGTCGGAGGGAGGAGACAGCTGCTGAGCAATTGTCTCCGGCCTGCTGTGCTGGCTATCAGCTCGAAGAGGATGAGGAAAGGCCCTTCACCAGAGTGGGTGTAGGCAAGCAGGCAGGCTTAGAGGGCGCTACAGTGGGTGGGAGCAGGCTGACAGGTCTGTGTGCTCTGCTCACAGTGGAGCCCAGGAGCAGGGCCTGCCAGGAAGGAGAGCAAGGAGGCTTCTGTGCACAACTTCACCCCCATGTCAATGGTCAGCATGCCTTGGGCCAAAGGACGGCCATGACTCCTGCCAGGAGTGTACACCTCGGAGTGCCAGCATAATAAAAAATGCCCAAAGCCCCATGTCTCTGAAGACCATTTTCTGTTACATCCCTGCCTCCCTTTCCCTCTGTTGCCACCTCACACACCCACATGCACACTCTGAGTCCACATCACAAAACACATTCATCCACTGTAACCAGCTTCACAGGCCAGACAGACACATCTGCAGCATCATAAAGCATTTATTAAGGACCTGCGTGCTCACCAAGACTCCCAGCGGTGTCCTGCCCTAGTGCATGCCCCCTTACTCTCCGTCCCAAGAGCTCCCTTAACAGTGCCCCCACCCCATTTCCTTCAGGACCCCTGGGTGGGCCTCCCCCACCATTCCTCCCCCATCCACCTGAAACCTTCCAACCCCACCTGGATGACATCTTACATCCTTCTTCCCTCCCATCTCTGTATCCTAGCAACCCCATCTCGGTCCCTGAATCCCTTCCAAGGAAATTAGAGATAATGGATCTCTCCTCGCTCCATCTCAACCCGTCTTTATTGATCCTCCTTTAATGAAAGTTAATTATAACAATGATTTAATTAATAGAATCCCTCTCTTCCTTTATTGCTTCCCGTATTAAGACTATTAATAAATACGAGCTGGGCTGACAGAGGCATCCATCACCCGCCTGGGATTCCCCCCATCCCTGCTTTTACCCTCCCTATCTCCACCCCTCCCTCTCTTGGCCTATAAACTTGCTGGGGTAGTGGGGGTTAATCAGAGAGGAATTATGAGCCAACATCTCCAGCAGGAGGTGCATTTAATGAAATCACTTGTGATTTATGTCTGGGGAGGTTAGGAGGGGAGAATCTGGGACCCACACATTCCTGGCTTCGGAGGTAGCCCCCTAATGCAAAAGGGGAAGAAGAGAGAAACAGGGACCCAGGCATCCCATCTACGTGGCCTCTGCTGAGCCACACTGACCTCCAGGAGCCACTTAGCTAACTGCACCAAGACCGCTGACAGGCTGTCAACCAGAAGCACTCACGAGGACAGCATTGTGGGCTTTGTTCTTTCTCACCTGCAACACATTCCGTGTGCCCTTCTACCTCCTTCCTTTCTCCCTGTCTGTTCTGCTTCACCTTCTCAGAGATACTCCACAGTCCCCTCCTCCACGAAGCCCACCATCCTTCACCAGCCCCTTCCACATGGATATCTGAAGTTTCGGCTGCTCCTTTCTCTGCCCTTTCAGTCTGGTGTGCTTTCACACAGTGACTCCCACTGCAGGAGCCACTTCTCTTCCTTACTCATCATTTACCTCACCCAGTGTCCAACTCGTGGCCCTGACCCAGAGGAGCTCTGGGGAGGGTGGTACCCTGCACCAGCAGGGAGGGAAGACAGCTGGGTTTCCATTCTAGTTCTGCCTCCTGTGGACTGTGTGGTATGCAGCCTTTCTACTTACTTCCTTGCTGTAATGGTTCGTCTCATTCCCTCCCTGATTCCCCGCATCTATGCAGAAGTTGATAGACCTGGATGGGCTTGAGACCCCAAACTGAAATGAAAGGTGGCAGCAAACAAGAATTCATACGTCAGTATCTGGTGGTAGAAGGATGAATCCAAACATATCACTCCCCGTTTATAGAACCTCGATGGCTACCTGTCACCTACAGAAATTGAAGTGCAAATTGACTAGTGTGCCAGTCATGGTCGTCACTGTCTGGCTCCAGCCTGCCTTTCCATCTTCCATCCTATCCTGAGCAACTTTATACTCCAGGATAACTGACCCATCCCACAGAAATAGGCATTATTTTTCTATGTCTCTGAGCACCATCTTTTCTCTCAGCTCAAAGGACATGTCCTCTGCGAAGCCTTGCCTGACTTCCCGCAGTTATGCTTTGAAATACCATATGTAGCACATGTATAAAAACATACTCAGGGGCCAGGGACTTAGCTGAGTGGCACTGTGACTGCCCCACAAGGTCCTGAGTTTGATCTCCAGTACAAACAAACAAACGTATTCAGCATTGTGATGCACATCTGAAATCTCAGCTTCTCAAGAGACTGAGGAAGAAGGATTGCAAGTTCAAGGTCAGCCTAGGCAACTTAGGAACACCTTGTCTCAAAATTTTAAAAATTAAGTTATGCCTCTTCACAATAGGCCACATCAAGGGTGTATTTTTATTTTTTCCTCCCTTTTTACTCAGCCCAACTCACTCTTCAGTGCTCATTTTTCTCTTACCTGTCTGTTTTTTTTTACCTGACTTTAATAAATGTGAAATTTTGCCACCATTTATAGAAAAAAAATTTTTTTTTTTTTAGTTAGCAGGGCTGTGGACATGGTAGCACACTTGTCTAGCATATGCAAAAACCTGAGTTCAGGACCAGGAATTTAGCTCAATGGTTCTGGCACCTGCCTTGCAAGTGCAGGGGCCCAAGTTCAATCCCCGGTACCAAAAAAAAAAAAAAAAAAAGCTGAGTTCAAATCCCAGTATCACAAACACAGACTCACAAAAGTAAAAATGCTACATTATATATACAAGTTTTTCTTCTCTCTAGACCATAAGCAAATTGATAATAAATTCTGGCCAGGCAGGATGGTACATGCCTGTAGTCCTAGCACTCAAGAGGCTGAGGCAAAAGGATCACTGTAAGGCCAGCCTGAACTACAAAGTGAAACCTTGTCTCAAAAAAAGAAAAGAAAAGAAATTCTGTGGGGCTGGAGATTTAGCTCAGTCATTCTTCTGCCTGCCTTGCAAGTTCACAAGGACCTGAGTTCAATCCCTGGTACCAAAAAAAAAAAAAAAGAAATTTTGTGTTTATATAGCCCTGTGATCCTAAAATCTAATACAGGGTGTTGCATATGGGTGTAGTCACCCCAAAATAATTTTACATTATTTTAATACAAATTTTGTATATAAAAAGAATAAAAAAGCCAGGAGCAGTGGTACACACTTCTAGTCCCAGAACTTGGAAAGCTGAAATGGGAGAATCACCTGAGCCCAGGAGTTCAAGACCAGACTCAGCAACATGCAAGATTCCATCTCAAGAAGAAGGAGAAGAAAGAAGAAGAGGAGAAGGAAGAAAAAAATGAACAGCACTGGACTCACTAAGCAGCTTTAAATAATCAGACATGACCAATACCAAGTGCCAAGTGTAGCTTGAAAAAGCAAAATGTGGTGTCAGGTGGAATAGAGATGTTTCTATTAACCTAAGAACATTTGTGGAGTGTTCTTTATGTGCAAGATCCTGGAAGTAGAGATGGAGTGTGTTAAACCTTGCCCTCAGATAGCTTGTAGTTGATGTAAATCAACAAATGCAAGGAAACAAGATAAATGCTACATTAGAGCTATACACAGCAGGCTCTGGAACCACAGAGGAGGAAAAATTAACCCACACTAAGCAAAATAAAGGTTCCCATGAGTCACGATGTGGGGCTGAGTCTTAAGGGATGAATAGATGTGAGCCTAGCATGTGTAGGCAAAAGAAACAAAGTGCTCAGAAATCTAAACACTGAGGTAGAGCTGTTGGGTGAGGACATACAATATGGGAAGTGAGACTGGAAATGTGGCCTACCGACATTCACCCATTCATACATTCCCTCAGCAATATTAACGGGGTGCCCATTACACACTAGGTACTGTCTTAGGTACTAGTGAAACACATTTTTAAAATTAGAGGGCCAGGAATTTAGCTCAGTGGTTCTGCCACCTCCTCACAAGCACAAAGACCTGAGTTCGATCCCCAGGACCAAAAAATAAAAAATAAAAATAAATAAAAATAAAAATTAGGAATGCCTGCCCTCCTGAAGCTTATACTCTTGCCTAACCATGAAAGTCCACATAAACCAGTTAGGAACTTACTGTAATAGCCCAGGCAAAAATAGTGAGCACCAAAACTTAGGATGCAGAATTAATGAGACCTGGTGATAATTATATACGGAAAGTCAAGTTGATCCCAGGTTTCTGGGTTCAATGACCAGAAAACTGATGATACCATACTCAAAATAAATGATAACAAATGGAGAAAAATACATGGGAGGGAAAAGTGATTGGTCCAATTTTGGCTTGTAGATTCCCAGTGTTTGGGGGATAATTTTTCTTTTTTGTATATTGATGATTGAACCCAAGACCGCATGCATGCTAGACAGGTGCTCTACCACGGACCTACCTCCCTAGCTCTTTTACCACTGAACTAAATCCCTGGCCCTTTCTTTTTAAATTTTGTTTTGAGACAGAGTCTAAGTTGTCCAGGCTGACCGTGAACTTACATTCCTCCTGCCTCAGCCTCCCAGAGTGTCACCATGCCTGGCCTATTTTGGGAATCTTCTGAAGAATACGGTGCAGTTGGGTAGATATTCAAGTCCAGAGATCAAAAGTTTGAAGCTGGGAATAGAGAGATAAGTTCCCTGACAGTAAAAGTGAAAAAAAAGACGTAACAGGTAGGG